GCGCCGCTATTTGGCGGCAGCCAGACGGAATCATTTGCAAAAATGGAGTCCTACCACTTAGGAGTTGTAATGATTCTGTTCACAAATATTGGCACGGCCGGTGTATAGAGCATCACCAGTGCTGTCATCCGCATAGCAATGAATGTTACCGCTTTGCAAGATATCATTGATATGCAGAAGGAACAGCGTTGGTGATAGCACACAGCCTTGTGGAACACCGGCGTTAATAGGCCTATAGTCGGAGCATGCACCGTCTACAATGACCTTGATGCTCCGATCTGTAAGGAAGCTGGTGATCCAATTTCTCAGACCAATAAAAATACTTTTATTTGGTCTCAAAATCTTTTTTTATTGGTCTTAGCTGGTCAATGATATTTTCTCATAATATATTTTATTAAATGATCAACGAAAACACAAACACCGTAACTCCGCTGAGTAATGTCTCCCGGTCTTGTAAAACGTTAAACGGTATATGAAGAAACGTTTGATTTTAGAAAGGTTCACTAAGCGCCTCATTAATCTTTCATTCAGGACCTGACTTTATAAATGTCGCATTTAAGTGAGGAGTGTTGGATAAGCAACTAAAATTATGTTTGCTACTTTTTCCTAAGTTATTCTTTCATTTTTAGGTAATAAAATAAAAATAAACTTTTTTTAGATTACAGTACCGTACGGTGATAGAGAAAAAAGAAAATATCTTAATATATCCCATCTCATTTAATGCGCCACAATGATCCCATACTATAGTATCTACATATGACAAAATAGCTGTCGGATATAGGACCAGAATGACTGAGAATAGTAATACATCATGTAACTAAGATAAATTACAAATTTACACTTTTTTTGTGGGAATTCTTAGCTAATGAATCGAATTAACTCTAGGGATTTTATTTGAAAGGTTGCTTGCTGACTCATCCAAATGCTCAGAAAGAATGAAAGCAATTGGATAGGTCTTATAATTATTCGAGCGTTGATATAACATAGATTCTTTAGATTAGCTGAGGTACTTTTATCTTTCAGGTTGGGAAAATAGACCTTATTTAATAAATGTTAGATAATAAAATAAATTAATAGGCAGACGAAGCTCTGAAAATATTTTCCAAAATATGAATAGATTATTTTTTATTATTCAAACTTAACGGTGTTCAGATTTTATGTATAGGCATACGAAGGACAGCATCGTACTGGCAAGTGCAGTGTTGGGCTACTAGTTGGAGTGACGACTTAATGAAATACACCAGTAGTCGGTTGATGCGGGTGGCTCAGGACAGTACTATATGACATTTTATAAGGGAGACCTATTTTCAGCAGACTTGTAATGTGTTATAGTGATAGTGGTTATCTCTGTGGTAGTACCTGGTATATAAAAAATGAATTTCAATAAGTATTGTATTTTAACTAAATAAAATTATTCCATTCTATTTCTTATGAGATAATTTAAACAAATACAGACGATATTCTAGTAAATCGTCGTAGGCGCCGCAAAGGGGCGAACCTCAATTTTTCAAAAAATTACGGAAGCGCAAGAACACATTTATTATTCCCCGATAACTAAATATTTTAGAATTAATCGATAACAACAAATATGATAAATGTTCTAATGAAAAAAAGCTAGTAATCAGGAAATAATAAATGTTATCTTGATCTCCTGTAATTTTTTGAAAAATTGAGATGCGCCCTCTTTGCGGCGTCAATGACGAAATTAACTATTTATTGAAAATAAAAGCTGATATAATATGCGTGCTTTAATGCCGTATGCTCTTGAAAATTCGAAATAAAGTAAACATTGGCTACGAATAACACCTGGAATGTTAACGTAAGACCTGTGGGAATATTATCAAGATTTTAGATCTGCAAAATCTTCAACACGTGCAGTTGAACTTACGATAGTATTTTTGTTATTTTCTCAGAAGTGACATCTGAATTTTTATTTTCGATCGAGGATAGATTAAACAGTTTATAGCCACAGTGGCACAATCAGATAGACTACATATATTTGTTAACCCTACTTAATAAAGAAGTATTGAATTCCATATTCGCAATACTTCAAATAAAACCAAAGAACATAAGGTTGTATACTAACACATGGATCCCCTTAGTCCTGCAATCTGACAGTAAAAATGAAAAGTGTCAATGCATTTAAATTTTCTTTATTTTAATCGCCAACAATTTTAAAAGTTTATCTGCATTGAAAGCGACATTTCATCGTGAAAAAAAAATTAATTGGATGGAATATTTTCGAATTAACTGGAAAATATTGCTTATGTACCCTGTTTTATTAATAAACTAGCGACCCGACCCGGATACGCCTTGCTATGTATCTATTAATGTGCATTATTTCTATTATAAATAATCAAGGACCATTTATTTTTTCAAGTTTTTTTCGACAAAATACAGTCTAGAAGATCCTCCTATCATACGGTTTATGTAGTTTCATTACAGTCGCTTCAGCTATTTCGAAGATTAGTCTGGACAGACAGACAGACAGAGAAACGACTGTCTGTCTATCCGGTCAGTGACAGATATACATATACATCTAAAAATGTTTATTCATGTCTTAATATCATGCAAATTACCTCCTCAGTTATTTCGTTACAGACAGAAACTTCAACTTTATTTATATACTATCGACCCGCCCCTGCCTCGCCTGGGTTAGACAAGAGTAACACAATAGCAATGACCTACAGGTATAGGTAGTACTAGCTCAGGACAGCGGAAGGGTTAATTTACATACTAAGATAATATACACAGATTTTAATGAATAAGTTTGTAAATTCGTAGCTTTTAAAAAATACAATCGGTCGAAACACTTCATCGAGACAAATTGCAAATTATTGTTGTATATTCTCATTTTTGTTTATGAAAATATATATAATAACTAATTCAAAACATAATAATTGCTAATAGTATAAGATATTTAGCAGGTAAAACACACAGTGGTGGACCGTCAAGAATCCAGATGGTGAGGATGGTATTGTGAATTTTGACGCGATGTTCGTTCGTGAAATTTGGCGGCTGGAATTAATCCGAACAATTCCTGAGGGCACTCCCCGTGGTAAATTCGATAGAAAATGCAAAGGGGTGCAATATATCCACGCAGTGCCAGTGTATCGAGCCCATCATACAAGTGGAAGGAGCTGGCACTGGGATGCCCCGGCCCAGAGATGAGAAGAGTATTTTTTTATAGTATAGGGTGACAAACGAGCACACAGTCCACCAGATGGTAAGTGGTTGCTGCGGCCCATAGACATCTACATTTATCCTCAACAAAGAATCAAAATGCAGATGCGTCGTCACCCGTGAGGACTAAGATGGAATGCCTCTTTTCCAGTAAAATGGGTCTCCGGTTCTCTACACTCACCATACGAAACACAGCAGTGTCAAGCTGCTATTTTACACTGGTATTCTGTGAGAGCGTGGTCCTTCCCCGGTCGAGCCGACCCATTCGTACTACAACTATACTACTAATATAGCTGCAGCACGGCTCTACCACCTATAAATTTGACTACTGTCGTAAACCACTTCTAACACAAGCATTTTAAGCTAACCAGAAGTGGATTAAAGAAATATTAGTAATGTTTAAAATAGCATTACTAGTATTTAAAAAAAAGTTTGTCCCGGTACCCGGCGACGTTTTCCCAAGAAATTTTAGCACTATTGGTCGCCACTGGTGATATGAGGGCTGATTCTTTTCTCGCTGAAAGGCTGAGCATATAGCTTTTTATAGGGGGGTAAGACTGTATAAGAACTATTATTATTATTTTAATAATAGTTCTATAATTATTATTATTATTTTGGGTTATCTATAAAGTTTTCTCATCTGGTTGGGCAATATAAATATATAGGTATAATTGTAAATAAACATGGTAAACGTACATAAATATCAATAAAATAAAATAAATACATAAATATATAAAAACCTAACCAGATGGAAGCCCTCGGCAGAGGAGACCAAACGGCCGAGGGTTAGGGGGAAAGGGAAAGAAACCGGCGGACGATGCGGGCGGTATCGAGGAGCACCGCCTTCTGCAATTGAGCTTGGAGCGGTCCGTCACGGAGTCCCAGTCGCCTCAGATGACCCGAGAGGCTGACTGGAATTAACCCATTCGCAGAGACGATTACAGGTATAATTTTGGCCGGCAATCCACCCCACATGTCGGTCACCTCGTGAGCCAGGTCCAGATATTTAGTCAGCTTATGTGTTTCGGCTTTCACGAAGTTCTCGTCATAAGGAATATTAATGTCGACCAAAAATATCCTTGAATGTGCCCGGTGCATTAGCACAATATCAGGCTTATTCGCAAGAATAGTCCTGTCAGCGCCGAACAACCGGAGATGACATGCCCAAGTGACTCACCGGGATGGCGGCAAGCTCGACAGACGTCAACGGTGCCATCCTTTAGGATGTATCTCCGATAATTGGTGGTCTTAATAACCTAATCCTGTATCATACAGACAAAACCCTCGGTTTCCCCAAAGAGATCACCGAAACGTAGCCAGTGGAGAGAGGCGACTGTGTCTACGAAAGGTTCATGTAGAGCCTTGTAGAACCTCCCGTGGAGCTCCTTTTTCTTCCATAAGGTCTCCCGGTCGGAAATGCTCTGTACTGCCGGATCTTGCCATTGCTCGTTGGCTAAGGATAGAGGGGTAAGTCCTTTATCACAAGAAATAACGTCCCTATATTATGGATCATCCGCTCTCGTCAGAAAATAATTACGGAGGCTGCACACTTTGCGATTATGCATGGTAAGCGCGCTTAAAAAGCCGCGCCCACCATGTTTCCGCGGCAAGTACAGCCTCATTACTGACGATCTCGGATGATGCATCCTGTGGGACGTCATTATAGTGCGGACTTTTCTGTCTAGAGCGTTCAGTTCGGTCTGAGTCCACCTGAGCATGCCAAAGTTATACATGAGAACAGGCATGACGATGATGTTATATGTGTGCGTCTTATTCACATCGGACAAAAGGCTGTTAAGCACTTTGGTCAAGCGTGCTTAAATCACATCGCAAACTGACTGTTTCATACCCGCCTCATCTACACCGATGTTCTGTGACATACCCAGGTATCGGTATGTTTCAGCCTCGGAAAGGGTCTTTATGTTGATGGGCATAGATAAGTCTATGCCCTCAGAGTTAGCAACCCTTCCCCTTTCAACATGGAGGATCGCACACTTATCCGTCCCCAGCTCCATTCCAATAGAATTGCTAAAATCACTCGTGATGTTTAGCAATTCCATAAGATGAAAGCGACTGGAGGTGAGTAACTTGAGATCATCCGTGTAGAAAAGGTGGGTCACTTTTGTACCTCCTTTCCGAAGCTGAAATCCCCTCCCGGAGCCCTCCAGTAAGGTACTGAGAGGGTTCAGAGAGAGGCAGAACCAGATTGGACTCAAACAATCGCCTTGGAAGATACCCCTTCTTATCCTTACGTGGTTCTCCGCAGCCGTCATCCGCTGGCCTAGATGACAAAGGATCGTACTCCACTGCTCCATACACTGCCCGAGGAAGTCCCGAACCGTACATTCAACCTTGTACAGCTCGAGGCTCATGGCTCTTAAGCCATGTATGAGGCACCGAGTCGAAAGCCTTTTTGTAGTCTATCCAGGCGACGCAGAGGTTCCGATGGTTGCGTTTAACCACCTTGCCAATGACTGCGTCAATGAGGAGTGGTTCCTTGGTTCCACGACCACTGCCCCGACATCTATTTTGAGCGTGCGACATCACCTGATTTGGGTTCAGGTGACGAGTGATTCTCACGCTCAAAATGGATTTAAGTGTCTTGTATATGGTAGATATACACGTTATGGGGCGCTATTTGCTCGGGTCTGTGGAATCCCGGTCTTTAGGAACCAAATGAGTGATCCCAGTAGTGAAGTGGCTCGGGAGCAACTTTTGGTCGAGAGCCTCTTGAAACTATCGGGCGAGCACAACATAACACACCACGAACCCCTTCAGCCAGTAGTGATGCAGTCCGTCGAGTCCCGGACTTTTCCAGTTCGGGGCCCTACGGACCGCCTAACCTACGTCATCCGGCGTTATGATGACGGGGTCCATGGGCGTAATATTTGCACACTGACTCGCCACAACTTCCGTCCAAGGGCCCTCGCTGTGGTTTACGGGCTCTGACCACAGGCCGCGTCAGAATGCGATAGTGTCGGCCTGATTCGGTGCTGGGCCCATTCCACGTACTATTGGTCGCTCCAATGATTCATAGAGCCTCTTCTGATCACTCTAGAAGAGACGATTCTGGTTGAACCGTGTCGCTCTCCCCACAGCGATTCTCTGCTTCAGATCGTCTATGCGCTCCGTCAGTTTTTGCGTTATATCCGGCTGGGACAAAGTGATATTTGTCCCAGCAAACGCCATCCTGACGGTGCGCACAATTCTTGGCCTATTATTGCCCGACCTGAAGCTTATCAATCTGACGATGAGGGCCCTTGCCTTTGCGATACGGTCCTCAATCCTTCTTCTCCAGGCTGGGATGGCGCTACTGTGTCTAGTAGCGCGTCCAGCCGTGGGAAGTTTGGCGCCAATAATACGGCAAACTGCCAGTGCGGCGCCAAACAGAATTGAGTCCGTGTCGCAAAAGTCCCGGCTGGCTTCCAATTAGGTCACCAGCATTGGGTTGAGAGCCCTCACGACAGCCCGATTCCGCTTGCTTAGGGGTATACGGGGAAGTCGCGGTCGATTCTCGAGATGCGTATAGCGCGTTTCCCTAATCGCCTCTTCCAATACGCTCCTCATTTGCTCTTGTTCCTGGGCGACTATTCCATCGTCGCCTGAGTCAACCATAAGGAGATCTACGGCGGCATCTACGTGTGCGGGTTGCTCTGCAACTCGTAGAGCCGCATTACCTGTCGTAGTATTTTCATTCAACGAAAGAATAGCCTCACGTCGTAGCCGTTCGAGTTCGGCGTCATCAAATATTTTTGAGCGCATGATGTATCGAACTCGGTCTGCCAAGTTTTGCTCGGTAACGGTAATAGACGGCTCCAGCTCAGCAAATAGTCGATGCATCCTAGCCCGGTACGCAAAACCTCCAATTTCTTCCCCTTTCGACCTAAAATACGCCCGCAATACGTTTGTATTCATTTCCTTCGTTCAACGGTGCGGTGTACTCCACCAGCGGCGGGTGCTGCTTGCCGAGTCCGAAAGGACCCTGCCGACCCCAAGCCATCTGATGGGGATGATGGATGCGAGGGGCTACTAGGTGGTTGTGTAGCACCTCGCGTTCGGCTGGCGGCCCGCATGCTGTGGCGTCCAGCGCCAGCTCCAGACGCGCCCCGGCGACCCCCAGGCAGTGGCCCTATACGCGGTCTATTGGTTTCCATCATCCATAAATTGGGCGTCAGTTAACGGGAGACGCCCAGACCCGGCGCCGTTTCATGATGGAGTCATATGCACAAACGGGCCTTTGCACCCTCAATTTTGCCGAGGCACGGCGCTAACACTGCTTGGCAAGGTGCTGACTGATTGCGCTGACGTAGCAGTTTTGTCACTTAACTGTTACGTCAGCGGGCGATGGGGTCGTCACTTCCCTACGCCATTTTAACTGTTACGTCAGCGGGCGATGGGGTCGTCACTTCCCTACGCCATTTTAACTATTACGTCAGCGGGCGATGGGGTCGTCACTTCCCTACGCCATTATTATTATTATTATAGTTCTTATACAGTATGAGGTTGAAGAGTTTAAAAAATTTATACCATTAGGTAGCTCACATCGTCTCATTTAATTAAAACTTCTAAGCAACTAATACGTTACATGGAGATGATTCATAAACTTTTCTAAAGGCGGAGGGCTTATACCAGCTTATACTAAAACAGCTCAGGGGAATTGAAAGAAAACATCCATCTTTTTGACATATATTCATCTCTTTTGGCGCCAAGGTTCTTTTAAAAAAGGGCTACAATGAATAATTGTCTTATCAACTAAAAAGATTTCACTAAAGAAAGTTCGTAGATATATGAACTTTTATAACAAACTACATATACTTCACTGCTGGACGTATGAGGAAGTTCAATATCTCTGAGTGAGCTATGGAGACGGCTATGCTCGGGGTTTCTCTGCATAATAAACTTAAAAAGGAGGATATTCGCAGTATAACTAGATTAATCGACACAGCCCAACAAAGAAAGGTTCTCAGGTGGCAGCCTGGTACCGGCAGGCGAAGTTTAGGGCGTCTTAACACTAGATGGAGTAACGATCTGGTAAGACATGCAGAAAGTCGATTGGTACAGGTTACTCAGGACCTATGAAGGCAAGAAGAAATGAAGGAAAGAAAGCAAGAAAAAAATAAAAACCTATATTAACTGGAACTATACATATCACATACAAAATAGACCTAGTTTCATTAGTTTCCGCGGGAATCGTAAACGTTTTGCTGGCGTGAGATGAAATCTTACGGTGAACTACACGGTTCCCGTATATTTTGTTAAATTATATTCACAAAATTTAAAAGAAGCTTTTGCACGATTTTCGACAATATTATTCCTAGTAATTAGTCATCACACGATGCCACGAACTATTCCATCAAATAGAGATAAAAATTTCACATTGCACTTTATTTTCAATTACTTACAATGTATCCGATGTAAGTAGCATCGGATAAATTGATACCATAAGAACTTCAACTTAAGCGGATCTCTCTTAATCACAATATTGTTTCCAGAATAACAGTTTAGTTAGTCATTTTGCAAACGTGGCAATAGCGGTAAATTATCCCGATAATGGCCGCTGATCTGGATAATATAAGTCAACTTTTATGCTGCACTATTAAGTATTCAGTATCATTCTTTTATTTAATTTTGTCAGTTATCTACTTATTTATTATTCGTTTATTTAGCAGTAAGTAGATGGCACTATTATTAGATTACAAAAATATGAAAGCCAAAACTGTAAAGGTAAATGTACAAAAACCTCTTAATTTATTTATGAGGATAATGAGAGTTTTGCAATAATAGACCAGAATCAATCAGCTTATTTTTTTGGAAGTAATTGGAAGTAAAGACTAGGAATGAGTTAGAGGGTGACTCGAACTTCAGGCCTAGTCAGTTTGAATAGCCTATCATGTAGAGGATGTCATGGAGCTTATGGTTGAGTAGGGGCAAAAAGTTCGCATTACAGTCCTAGGGGGCCAAAATTGCCAAAAACCAAAAAATTGGGGGTTGGCTCGAACTTTAGGCATAGTTAGAATGAATAGACTTTCATGTAGTGGATGTCATGGGGGTTATGGATGAATAGGGGCAAAAAGTTCGCATTACCCTCCTAGGGCGTCAAAATTGCCATAAACCAAAAAATTGGGGGTGGCTCGAACTTTAGGCATAGTCAGTTTGAATAGCCTATCATGTAGAGGATGTCATGGGGGTTATGGTTGAATAGGGGGAAAAGTTCTCATTACACTGCTAGGAGATGAACATTGCCATAAACAAAAAATAATTCTTATTATGGCTATAACTATGCCTCCTTCGGAGGTTCTTACAAAATCTTTACTTCCCGCATCACACTTTTTTTTATAGAAGAGGAGGAATACGAGCATGCGGCTCACCTGATGGTAAGTGACTACCGCCGCCCATGAACAACTGCAACACCAGGGGAACCAGGGGAATTGCAGATGTGTTGCCGGCCTTTTAAAAAGGAGTAGACTCTTTTCTTGAAGGTCCCTAAGTCGTATCGGTCCGGAAAAATCGCTGATGATAATCGACTCCACAAGGAAGTTGTACGAGGAAGAAAACATCTTCTAAATCGCACAGTGGTGGACCGCCAATCATCCAGATGGTGTGAATGGTATCGGGAGTTCTGCCGCGATGTGCGTTCATGAAATTTCGTAGCTGGGATTAATCCGAACAATTCCTCATAGCACTCCCCATGGTAAATATGAAAGAAAATGTTAAGGGATGCAACATCTCTTTGCAGTGCCAATGAATCGAACCAATCGAAAAGCACTCGGTCATCAACTATTCGAGCCGCTTTGCGCTGGATGCAGTCAAGTGGAAGGAGCTGGCACTGGGGAGCCCCTGCCCAGAGATGGGAAAAGTATTCCACGTAAAGCCGAACCTGCGCCTTGTAAAGTTGCAGGAGATGTGCCGGCATGAAATACTGTCCCGCTCTGCTGAGCACGCCAAGCTTTTTTGAGGCCAGTTTGGTCTTCTCTTACAAGTGACCACGAAACTGCACGTCACTCGATATATAGACTCCGAGGATTCCGATATTGGCAGAGGCAAGAAGGGGAGTGCCTTGAAACTGAGGAGATACGACAAAGGGGGCCGGTGTATAAAGCATCGCCAGTGCGGTCATGCGCATAGCTATGAATGTTACCAGTTAGCAACATATCATTGATATGCAGAAGAAACAGCGTTGGTGATAGCACACAGCCTTGTGGAACACCAGTGTTAATAGGCTTGTAGTCGGAGCATGAACCGTCTATAACGACCTTGATGCTCCGATCTGCAAAGAAGCTGGTGATCCAGTTGCACAATTTCTCGGGAAGCCCATAAGAAGGGAGCTTCGAAAGAAGCGCTTTGTGCCAAACCCGATCGAAGGCCTTCGCAA